ACACACTGTTTGTGTGTGTAACTACTAATGGCTTTGAGTATTAAATACACACAGTGTGTGTGTAACTACTAATGGCTTTGAGTAATTAAATACACACTGTTTGTGTGTGTAACTACTAATGGCTTTGAGTAATTAAATACACACTGTTTGTGTGTGTAACTACTAATGGCTTTGAGTATTAAATACACACTGTTTGTGTGTGTGTGTAACTACTAATGGCTTTGAGTAATTAATTTGGAATTATGTTTCCTCATTTCTTTAATGGATTTAATTCCAGAAATTCAACATGGTCATCACACAACTAATACAACTGCTTCGTTTGTTGGTTAATTATTACGTTATGTAAACTCTAACTTAGCCTGATATTATTGCTGTGCGTCTAACATTTACCTTCCCTAAAACAAACTTTAGAAACAATACGTCATCACGATATTTCACAGTTACCGAGAAATATACAAGTTTTTTTTATGCAAGTGGTAAAAGACCTTTCGTTATTTTTATGCTGCTACATAATAGCGATTAGCATAACGTGTTTACTCCTTTTTTACATAATACACGATAAGTTTTGAAAATCAAAACTCCTGTATAATTACTTTTAATTAGCAGATGGCGCTGTTATTTCATATAAGACAATAAAAGAATGTAGTGTATTAATTCAACTAAAAGCATGTTTCACTCCCAGCTATAAATGGTATTGTACAAGTGTAAATATTTGATATTTTAGTATCTTTAGCTAGCTAGTAATATATATATTTTATTCGCTAAGCTGAAATAGCTTTTAAAAAAGAAGCATTATTACCGGTATCACGACCATATAGCTGTTTGCTCGTAAGATTATAAGATATATTTAAGTTAATAGTGTGCTACTTACAGGTTCAAAGGTTATGAGAGGTGTAACTTTTAGAAAGAGGGTTGACTTAAAGAGTTCCTATTTAATTATTGAATATGTCGCTTTATTAAAGTTTGTAAAATAAGAAGTGTAGGTGATATTTATCTGTTAAATGTGCTGAAGATTACACGAGATCGGAACGTGCTTTTTTTTTTCTTTTCCTTTTTTTAAGTCTGTGAACTATCTTCACTGGAATTTTTGGTGCAGGCAGCTTTCTGCTCTTATTGCAAACTGTTAGGGCAAAATGGTCGTTATTAGAAAATCTCCAAAGATATGAGAATTCTAGCTAGTTCCTAAAAACAGAAAGTATTCTGTTTAATTTGTGAACACCGTTCGGTGTACAAAAACGTGGGTCTATTATTGTAACAAAGTGCTCTGTTTAATTTGTGAACACTGTTCGGTGTACAAAAACGTGGGTCTATTATTGTAACAAAGTGCTCTGTTTAATTTGTGAACACTGTTCGGTGTACAAAAACGTGGGTCTATTATTGTAACAAAGTGCTCTGTTTAATTTGTTAACACCGTTCGGTGTACAAAAACGTGGGTCTATTATTGTAACAAAGTGCTCTGTTTAATTTGTTAAACACCGTTCGGTGTACAAAAA